CACATGGCTTCAGGCCATCCATAATATCATTTCACAACAGTAGTCCACTGTTCAATCACATGGCTTCAGGCCATCCACTGTTTAGATAGGTTGTGTTTATTTTGTGAGTGGGATTAGTGGGTGATGTGTCAGGTCATGATTGGTTGAGAGGTAATGGCAAGGATTGCCAAGTTGGAAGGGGATGGGGTGTTTGGATTGAGTTGTTTTCCGGATTGGGTTGTACATTTGGGCTAAAGTAATTTTATAAATAGCCACTTTGTACTTGGTTAAGGAATTGGAATAACAGCCTTTTAGCTTTAAAACCCCTTTTAAAATAAATATAAATAAACCTAACAATTTCAATATAATGTGATGAAATTGTGATTACTATATGTTACTAATTATTTTAATTATCTATAAATGACACATATTTTGAATTGTAGCACTAATGTCAAATATTAATAAAGTAGCCTAATTCTTGGAAATTAAGGAGTAATTTTGTCAAATTATAAAACCTATGTAATGTACAAATAGATATTCATTACTGGAAAAATAGCTTTTAAAGTATTTATTATAAGTAGTTAAGCGTGAATAAATTAATTTTAAAAGGGAGGGTCAAAATTGACCGTCAATAGCTGCCCATCTTTGGCCAGAGACGATGAAAGAGTTTCGGGCAAAGAAATTGAACCAAAGCCAATTTTGTCCAACTTTAGGCACGCATTGCAAGAATGGCATGAAAGTTATGAATTGAGGAAGAATCTAGGGAAGTTTGGGAATATTGGGCCGAATTCTAGCTCTGAATTGCTTACAAATCTCGGGCTTAACGAGGATCAGGCCTCATCTAGTTTTAGATTAAGGTCTTCGGGGAAGCGTCACTCGCTGGAATTTCCCCGGTATCGTATTGTGATGATACAACGAGACGGAAGATTGGTCACTCATGATGGCTTGAATTTTGCAGCCTGATTTGAATGATTCGAAATTTTGAGCTCGCTGGTCATTTTGAGCTGGGATCTTGAGCCCGCTACTGGGTTGGTTGTCTCCACAGAGTTGTTGTTCGTTCTGATGCTAAGATATAGTTCCACACTGTGGTGTTTGTTCCTGCAAAACAAAATGAAATACATGCATTCTAATATATTATAATGCATAATATATTAAGATGCAATGTAACTGATGCAAGAATGATGATGCTTGGCTACCAGCGAGCCGTTATTTGGGATTGTGTTGATGGGATACTTGATCCCAACTCGATTTGTTAGCTGAGCTGGGTACTATTCCACAGCTGCCGGAGCATTTGAAAATTGTCTCCGCTATTTGGGAGAGCTTGATTGGTAAAGTGCGTCTCCGCTTGCTGGGAGAGCTTTGCACTGAGAAATGTCTGCGCTTTTTGGGAGAGCTTTATTTGCAGGGTGCGGCTCCGCTTATTGGGAGAGCTTTGTATTGACATGTAAAGTAGTCCCTGCTTGGGAGCGACCAAAATAATGCCTAAAGACGCACAAACAAAATGTTAAGAAATTCAAGGTAACAGTGAAATGAAATATAAGAATGCCCAAGAGATACTCTTGACTACGAAGCTAAGTTGGGACCATCGATTGGCAGAATGTTGGTGACGAGGTTTACGATTGTCTATTCCGGCATTTGTGATTGATGGAGCGGTGCTGTGGATTGCTTTTTGTTGGCAAAGTCTGCAGTTTGCTATATACAAGGCTCCCATTGGTGAAACAGACATTCAATTTTTACAAGGCGCTCCGATTGATTGAGCCAACGATTTGCTATATACAAGGCTTCGATTGGTGAAGCTGACATGTGATTTGTACATGGTGCTCCGATAGATTGAGCAGGCGGTTTGCTATTTACAAGACTTCGATTGGCGAAGCCGGCGTTCGTTTTGTACAAGATGCTCCGATTAAGTGAGCAGATGGTTTGCTATTTACAGATTTCTATATCAGCTGTCTGATTCCAAGGCACCTGCAAACAATTCAAGAGTTAGCTTTAGCTGCGCTTGAAAATATAAGTAAGAGGAAGGAGAGATAATCTTAGGCAAGTGGCGGGTACGTCATTTGCCCCAGTGTGGTTCCAGTGATTATTTACTCATTTTTGACCCCGCACTCAAAGAAAACTTCTTAGTTGAGAGTGGTGGTGGTGGTGGTGGTGGTGGTGGTAAGCTAGTTNGTAGTAAGCTGGTTTGCGTTCACCCTAGTGTTGATTTGCCCCAGCCTTTGACATGACCGCGCCATGGAGTTCGGTAGATGGAACAGATTAATTTTTATATATTTCAAATACTTCTTCTTTTAAGGCAAATTCCATCGTGCCGAATTATGACATGTTAAGAAAGGTGCTTCGCATGTGAATGCATTTCTTTAAGAGCTTCATCATGTTGATGTCGATCTCCCACGGTATCTATGACAACGCGGCTACTGGATGTTGTGACTGCGTCCAAATTAAGACTGATGCATTACAGAGGTTTCCTAAGGTTATGACCGAACCCTTTCAGGTTGCCTACGTATCCAATGCGGAATCAGGTTTGAACATAGTTCGTGGGATAATGATGAAATACGATGAAATGATCGAGCCTAACTCAGGCAGCCTACATATCCAAAACGAAATCAGGTTGGGATGTAGTTCGATTATAATAGATGCAAGATGATGAGATTAAGAGATGAAAACGGCCGAGTCTGACTCAGACAACCTACGTATACCTGGCCAGAATGTAGTTCAATTATAAAAGATGACTGAATTCGATGAGGATTGCCTATTGTATTCCTTTCTGAGGAGATCAAGTCGGCGTAGTTCTGTTAGGATTGCCTTTGTTGCCTACGTATCCCAACATGGGAAGTCAGGTTGAATGTAGTTCTGTTACATTAAAAACCCTAACTCTATCTGTCTTCAGGTTTAATATCTCTTGATTGCGTCCGAGTTGATTGCCTTTGAGCTGACTCTTCCATCCATTTCTTCTATGATTAGAGCTTCACCAGACACTGTTCTGTGGACCATGTAAGGACTTTGCCAGTTTGGTGCAAAATTCCCTTTAGCTTCCTCTTGATGGAGAAAGATTTTATTCAGAACCAACTGCCCCAGTGCGAATTGGTGAGGCTTCACTCTTTTGTTAAATGCACTAGCCATCGTGTTCTAGTATAGTTGTCCATGACATACTGCATCCATTATTTTCTCGTTAATGAGCACGAGTTGTTCTTGCCTGACCTATATCCAGTCTGTGTCGTCCAATTTTGGTTCCTGGATGACTCTTAAGGACAGAATTTCAACTTCTGTGGGTATCACTGCTTCAGTGCCGTATACTAACATGTATGGCGTTTCCCCAGTGGATGTTTTTCTGGTAGCCAGGTAACCTAATAAAGTAAAAGGTAACTTATCGTGCCATTGCCTATGATTGTCCACTATCTTTCACAGAATCCTCTTGATATTCTTGTTAGCTGCCTCGACAACCCCATTATTGTGGTCTATAAGCTATGGAATTGCGGTGGACGATTCTAAACTTTTCGCAAATTTTTCTCATGAGTCGCTACTGAGGTTGGCAGCATTGTCAATAATGATAGACTCTGGTATCCAGAATTTGCAAACGATGTTGTTCCGAACAAATTCTGCCACTACCTTCTTCATGATGGCTTTGTAAGTAGATGCCTCGACCCATTTAGTGAAATAGTCAATTTTTACCAAAATGAATTAATGTCCATTTGATGCTACATGCTCTATGGGTCCTATCACGTCCATGCCCCAGGCGGTGCAAGGCCAGGGTGAACCCATTACATTTAACTCATTTGGTGGAACCGGGATGAAGTCTCCGTGAATCTCACATTGGTGACACTTTTGCACATAGCGGATGCTATTGTTTTCCATAGTCATCCAAAAGTATTCAGCTTTGAAAATCTTTTTGGCTAATGTGAACCCGTTCATGTGGGGTCCGCACGTCCCCGCATGTATTTCTTCCAATAGTCTGGTTGATTTGGCGGCGTCTACACATCTCAACAAATCTAAGTCTGGGGTCCTCCTATACAAGACTTCCTCTTTGAGGAAAAAGTGGTTTGCCAATCTCCCGAGGGCTCGCTTTTGACTATTAGTAGCATTTTCTTCCTGTGTCATGAGGATCTTCTTGATGTCGTGATACCCAGGTTTACCATCTAGTTCTTCATTCACATGGAATCAATATGCATGTTGATCCTTGATTACTATCTCGATGGGGTCGATGTAGTTCTTCTCTGGATGCTGAATCATAGATGACAAGGTTGCAAGGGCGTCGACAAACTCGTTCTGAATCTTGGGGACATGCCTGAACTCTATCTTCATGAACTTCTTGCACAGTTCTTTCACGCAGTGCAGGTATGGCAGTATCTTGACATTCTTAGTTGACCATTCTCCTTGGACTTGGTGGATCAGCAAATCGGAATCTGCTATGACCAAAAGTTCTTTGATGTTCATGTCGATTGCTATTCTGATTCCAATGATGCATGTGTTATATCAGCCATAATATTGGTGCACGGGAATCTTATCTTTGCCGACGCTGGATTGTGTTGTCCTGATTCCGAAATCAAGACTTCCACTATCCCGACTCCTTTTAAGTTTGCTGCTCCATCGAAAAACATCCTCCATCCGGGGTACGATTCTGCGATGTCTTCCCCGGCAAATAGCACTTCTTTATCAGGAAAATACGTGGTAAGTGGTTCGTAATCCCCATCCATTATGTCACAACTCAATTCTATAATAGGCCGTGATGGCACCTAACGCCGCTACTAGGCAAGCCAACTGTGAACTAGCCACATGATTTCCTCTTTTAACAAAATTTTCCAAGTAATTAAACTTTCCTTAAATTAAAAGATTTGAGAAATAATGGATTCAAATTAAATAACACGATAACAACAGAGTGCAATCATAATCAAAGAATAAAAACCAAAACCACAAGTCTACTAGTATATGCCAAGACCTGGTGTCACAAGTGTATGAGCATCTAGTAGAATATACAAAAGAATACTAGTCTACTGTTCGAAGAAAAAATAGACAGAAAAATATAATCAAAAGAAAGACTCCGATTGCTGCAGATCGGGCTCAGAAGGCATCTCAACGTGAAGCCTCAAGTGGTAATCAAGCGTGCATGCCATACTGATATCTAGATGCACCTGCCTCAGATCCTGCATATTTAAGTGCAGAAGTGCAGCGTGAGTACATAAACAACATGTACCCAGTAAGTATCTAGTCTAACCTCGAAGAAGTGGTGACGAGGGGTCGACTTCGGCACTTACTATGGGCCTACTATATAATAATATGAAATTCTACTTAACATGATAGATATAAATGACAATAGAACTCAGACTAAGAAATAAATAAACAATCATTTTACCGTTAGTAAGAACTGAATCATTTCCCTCATTTAACATGTAATTTCTCAGCCAATGAATTAATATCATGTATAAAGGGGACTTCCAATATTATTACGCACGATTATGCCGAGGACGTACGGCCCGATGCAAATATACAAACAACAACAACAACAACAACAACCAAGTATAGTCCCACAAGTGGGGTCTGGGGAGGGTAGTGTGTACGCAGACCTTACCTCTACCCCGATAGGGTAGATAGGCTGTTTCCAATAGACCCTCAGCTCAAGAAGACGAAAAGACAAAAAGAGAAAATATATCAGTACCATCATAGAAATAATAACACCATAAGAACCAGTGAATAGATGAAAGCCAAAAATAATGACCAGTAAATAATGCACGGCACTATGAAAACGGAAGAGTAGTGTAAACACAGCCCTGACCACTAGCAGCCTAAGACTAAATCCTATCATCCTAACCTCACACCGGAAGACGAAATATGCTCAACTACCTCCTAACCCAGAACCTTAATGCTCGACCTCCACAGCTTCCTATCGAGTGCCATGTCCTCGGAGATCTGAAGTCTCGCCATATCCCTCCTGATCACCTCTCCCCAATACTTCTTAGGCCGCCCTCTACCTCTCCTCGTATCCACCAACGCCAACCGCTCGCACCTCCTTACCGGGGCATCCAAGCTCCTCCTCTGAACATGCCCGAACCATCTGAGTCTCGCTTCCCGCATCTTCTCATCAATAGGAGCCACGCCCACCTTCTCCCAAATATCTTCATTCCTAATCTTATCCATCCTAGTATGCCCACACATCCACCTCAGCGTCCTCATTTCTGGTACTTTCATCTTCTGGGTATGTCAATTCTTAACTGGCCAACACTCAGCCCCATACAACATGGCCGGCCTAACCATTGCTCTATAAAACTTACCTCTGAGTAGCAGAGACACTTTCTTGTCACACAAGACTCCAGATGCTACCCTCCATTTTGTCCACCCACCCCTATACGGTGTGTGACTTCCTCGTCAATCTCCCCACCCCTATGGATAACTGACCCAAGGTACTTGAAACTGCCTCTCTTGGAAATGACCCGCGATCCAAGCCTCACGTCCATGCCCTCTTCCCTCGGCTCGGCACTGAACTTACACTCAAGGTATTCCGTCTTCATCCTGCTCAACTTGAAACCCTTTGACTCAAGAGCCTGTCTCCAAACCTCCAGCCTCTCGTTAACGCCACTCCGCATCTCGTCAATCTGAATAATGTCATCAGTGAGTAACATACACCATGGCACCTCTCCTTGAACATGGTGTGTCAGTGCATCCATCACCAGAGCAAACAGGAATGGGCTAAGCGCAGATCCTTGGTGTAACCCCATAACAACCGAAAAATGCTCGGAGTCGCCTCCCATTATCCTAACCCGAGTCTTAGCTCCATCATACATGTCCTTAATCGCCCTAATGTAAGCAACCGACACACCTTTAGCCTCTAGGCATCTCCAAAGAACCTCTCTAGGAACCTTGTCATACGCTTTCTCCAGATCAATAAACACCATGTGCAGGTCCTTCTTCCTATCCCTGTACTGTTCCACCAACCTCCTAATAAGGTGGATAGCTTCCGTAGTAGAATGACCCGGCATGAGCCCGAACTGGTTGTCTGATACAGACACCGTCTTCCTCACCCTCGCTTCTACTACCCTCTCCCACACTTTCATGGTATGACTCAATAGTTTGATACCCATATAATTATTGCAACTCTGGATGTCACCTTTTTTCTTGTACAACGGAACCACCGTACTCCACCTCCACTCGTCCGGCATCCTCTTCGTCCTGAAAATATCATTAAACAACCCTGTCAGCCACTCCAGACCTGCTTTACCCGCACACCTCCAAAATTCTATTGGAATCTCGTCAAGCCCGGTAGCTCTGCCCCTGCTTATCTTTCGCATAGCTCCCACGACCTCCCCAACCTTGATGCGTCTACAGTACCTAATATCGCGGTGGCTCTCGGAACTCCCATCTCGCCTAGCACAATATCCTGGTCCCCTTATTCATTCAGAAGTTTATGAAAGTAAGTCTGCCATCTCTGCTTAATCTGGGCCTCTCCCATCAATACTCTACCGTCCTCGTCTTTGATGCACCTCACTTGATCCAGATCCCGCGCCTTCCTCTTCCTTGCCTTAGCCAGCCGTAATAATTTCTTCTCCCCGCCTTTGGCCCCTAGATCCTCGTATAGATGACTAAAAGCCGCAGTCTTAGCCTCCATGACCATCATTTTCGCCTCCTTCCAAGCTACTTTATACCTCTCCCTATTCGCACTCCTCTCAACTTCGCATGTGCTCCCTACTAACTTCAGGTACGCCGCCTTCTTCGCTTCCACTTTACCTTGGAAAACTTCATTCCACCACCAGTCGCCTTTGTGTTCGCCAGCGAAACCCTTCGAGACTCCCAACACCTCTCTCGCTGCCTCCCGTATATAATCCGCCACGGTCGACTACATAACACTCGCGTCCCCACTACTCTTCCAGGCTCCCACGGCCGATAGCCTCCCTTCCAACTCCTGAGCTTTACCCTTAGTCAAGGCTCCCCACCTGATCCTCGATCGACCGCGTGCAGTCCTCTTCTTCCTCTTCATCATAATACCGACGTCCATCACTAAGAGCCTATGCTGCGTCGCGAGGGTCTCACTCGGGATAACCTTGCAATCCTTACACAACCCTCTATCACACCTCCTAAGGAGCAGATAGTCAATCTGAGTCTTCACCACTATGCTCTGAAAAGTAACCAATTGATCCTCCCTCTTTGGAAAACTAGAGTTAGAAATCACCAGCTCAAATGCCCTTGCGAAATCCAACAGCGAAGTTCCTCCTGCGTTCCTATCCCCAAAACCAAAGCCACCATGCAGCTCGCCATAGCCGTCTGCAGTCGACCCAATATGACCATTAAAATCCCCTCCTATAAATAACCTCTCAACAGACGGAATACTACGCAAAATCTTATCCAACCCCTCCCAGAAGCACCTCTTAACCTCCTCATCCAAGCTTGCTTGCGGCGCATACGCACTAACAACATTTAGGGTGCACTCTCTAACCACCAACTTAATAGACATTAACCTACCATTCACCCGCCTAACCTCTACCACAGACTCTCTAAGTTCCCTATCCACCAAAATGCCTACACCATTCTTACCCTTCAGGACTCCAGAGTACCACAACTTATACTCGTCTGCATTCCTCGCCCTCGATCCTACCCACCGAGTCTCCAGGACAAACGCTATATTGACCTTCCTCTTCTGTAGGATCTTCGCCAGCTCTATAGACTTACCCGTCAATGTACCTATGTTCCATGACCCAATTCTCAACCTACAGGCACTCTTGTGCCCCTTACCTCCCTTGCCTCCCGTCCCACCCTTGACCCCTGCCCCACCCCCCGCCCCATCCCCTGGCCTCCCCGAGGACATGAACTTACTCTACCATCCCAGATTACAACCACTATACCTATAACAGACGAAGGAGAATCACTTACACACACTAGGAAAATGGACCAGAAAAGGAGAAAACAAGTTGAAGCTAATAGAAAGCTAACACTAATGCAAACTAAAAGGCAACAATTTAACTGACACAAAGGGAAGGAGAATAGGAAAATGGGAGGTACCAACTCTCGGGAAAGAACGTAGAAGTTGTCTCTGGTGTACACGACACTGATTCGGCACCTAGCAGCCCTCCTATGATGCGTGCCTGCTCCTCGCTCGTCTCCAATAGCCACTACGTATTACTTGAAACACAAGAACCAAAAAAGGTGCTGCCTTCGCTACCACCGGGGGAGCCCCAACAAAAGCAAAGAAGAGTAAAACAAGAGGAAAGGAGGGTGGAAAAATAGTGGGAATATTTTGTCTAGGAACCCTTGTGAAGAAAGAAATTGAGAAGTTCGTTTGCCAGAATATAACAATCGCAGCGGCAGTCGAAAAATCTCAATTCGATAATCAGAACTTTAAAATGTTTTTGTCAAAAAAGTACTTTAAATAGTAGTTTAATTAATGAACAAAAAGGATACTAAATTGTTTAGAGAATAAGAATAAATGGAGAGAATGACTATTTCGGTAAGGCTCCGATTATCGGAGTATATGCTCAAAAGTTGGAGTGAATTCGGAAATTACGAAGAGGAAATAGTTTTTAATGTAAGCAAAAAATCTTATTTGTAGATGTTAGTACGTAATTTTAAAGAAGGTTTCAAAGCCAAAGATCTCCAGGACCATAGATTTTGCAGAGTCTCCAAGAAATTCCTTAGGAATAGATTTCGCCGGAGAAAAGGGAGACAGAGAGAAGCAAGTTCGCCAACGACGAAGAGTGTGGTTTAGTTTTCAAAATCTCAGATATTCTGATTGATTGTTCACGGTAAAATGTCACAATCTCAATCAGTGTGTATCTTTTCTTACTAATTTTGGAAATTACAAAACAAGAACAAAACAATATTCTGATTCAAACGCAAAAATCAAATGCAAAAAATGGATATTCAGAAAATAAAGCTTATAAAATGAAATATTTATGAAGAAAATTTGCGAAAAAATTACTGCGGTGATGAGATTAAAGGATGAGAATTTATTTCTATTAGAAAAAAATTAAATACCAATTTTTCAAAAGAACGCCCAATGAGATCCTTGTAAAAAATGATGGATCAATCGCTGCAAAAATGTAGAAACTGAAGTAGTTGCCGGCCATTGGTATTTGATTTAATGCCAACGTCCCGATCCAAATATACATATGCATATAATGTGTGCACTGCCGAGGGTCGAACGGCATGAATCATAGATGCATCTATTAACCTGCCGAGGCGAACATCTCGCTCTCATGAGAGTAGTGAAAAAGTCAAGCCGCTCGCGGAATATACCTGCGACGCGGTTAAATATAAATTTCTCAAGTTAATCATAACATCCCTCAATTCTTTTCAAAATAAAGAAATTCAACTTGAAACTTTTATAATTTGAAAATCCTCAACCCCAGCCCTATTCAAGACAATTATCAAACATAATCCAATAACGGGGTGCACAAAGCATGGTGTAGGCCTACAACTATCCGGACATAAGCATCAAATGTAGCTACGTACAGACTATCGTCACCTCCTGCATACGTAGCCCCCAAAAATAGAAGCACATATTCATTACGTTCACCTTTGGGGTTAATTCCCTCATACAAGGTTAGAAAAGAGACTTACCTTGCCTTAAAGCCTACTTTCTAGTCCAAGATTGTGCCCAAACCCTCAATTTGGTGCTAAACAACTCGAAACTAGTCAAATATTATATAAAATAATCAATACATGCTCAAAAGTTCATATCCTAACTATCAAAGTGATTTCCCAAGCTTATTTGCAAAATTCCTAAAATTCACCCCAAGCCAACGTGCCCGGATTCCAGAAATTTTCGAAGAAAGTTGTTACCCATAACCACTTGAACTCAAATATATGATTTTCACTAAATTCCAAAACCAATTTCGTGGTTAAATCCCATTTTTATAAAAAACCTAGGTTTTCATCTAAACCCTTGACTTTCACCAATTTTTAGATGTCAATCTACCAATAATCTATGTATTTAACTCATGTTGTGTAGAAATTACTTACCTCCAAGTGCTAGGTGAAAACCCCCTTCCAAGAGCTCCAAAAATCGCCCAAGTGTTGAAAGAAAATGAGCTAAATGGCCTAAGTCTTGGATTTAATAAAACTGTGCACAAGTCTCAATGTCGCATTTGCGACACCTGGTTCGCAATTGCGAAGGTCGCAAATGTGACAAACTCATCGCAAATGGGAACCTGGGCTCCTACTGCCAAGGTCGCAAATGCGACAAATCCATCGCAAATGCGAAGGCTGGCCAACTTTGCCATGGTCGCAACTGCGACTAAAACCTTCGCAAATACGAATCCCTCAGAGCCTTCCCAAGTTCGCAAATGCGAGTGCCTCTTCGCAAATGCGACCTCGCAAATGCGATCAACACTTCGCATTTGCGAGACCTGCAACTCCAGCCCAGAAACACCAGAAAATTGAAGTGTTTCTCATCCTCTTGAACGTCCGAAACTCGCCCGAGCCCTCAGGCTCCACCCCAAAAACCCACACAAGTCTAGAAACATCCTACGGACTTGCTCGCACAATAGAAGCACTGAAATAATATCAAAAATCAAGAATCGGATGCCAAAACACATGGATTAGCTCATGAACTCAAAAACTTCTATAAATACTTCAGCGCAACTGATTCCTATCAAATCAACTCGGAACTACACCAAAGTTTGCATGCAAGTATTAAATGACACTGTGGACCTACTCCAATTTCTGGAACTAGAATCTTAATCCGATATCAAAAAGTCCACCCTCGGTCAAACTTTCCAAAAACTTCATATTTCTAACTTTTGCCAAATGACTCTAAAACGACCTACGGACTACCAAATCCACTTCCGGACGCGCTCCTATGTCCAGAATCACCATACAGAGCTATTCCCAGGCTCGAAATCCCAAACAGATGTCTAGAATGTAAAACTCCACTTCTTCCCAAACTTACAAAATTCACTCAAAATGTCAACTTTCACTATTAGGCACCGAAACGCTCCCGGGTCATCCAAAACCCGATCCAAACATACGCCTAAGTCCGAAATCATCATATAAACCTATTGGAACCGTCAAATCTTGATTTTAATGTTGTTTACTAAAAAATTTGATCGAAGTCAAACTTAGCCTTTTAAGCTAACGTAAGGAATCAAGTGTTTCGATATCAACCCGAACCCCTTCCAAATCCCGAACTAACCATCCCCGCAAGTTATAAAACTGTAAAAGCATGTATGAGAATATTTTTTAAGGGAACGGGGTTCTGGAAAGCAAAACGATTGGTCGGGTCATTACATTCTCCACCTCTTAAGCAAACATTTGTCCTCGAACGAGTTTAGAATCATACCTGGAGTGCTGAATAGGTGTGGATATCTGCTCGGCATGTCCTCCCCGGACTCTCAGGTCGCCTCCTTGGCTGGTTGGCCCCTCCACTGAACTTGTACTGCGAAAATCCTCTTGGATCTCAACTGGCGAACCTGCCTATCAACAATAGCAACTGGCTCCTCCTCATAACCCAGGCTCTCATGTAACTGAATCGTGCTAAAGTCTATCACATGTGACAAGTTGGCATAATACCTCCGGAACATAGACACACGGAAAACCGGATGAAACTCCTAATAGACTGGAAGGTAAGGCAAGCTCATAAGCAACCTCTCTAACTCGTCTTAACACCTCAAATGGGCCTATAAACCTTGGGCCAACTTGCCCTTCTTCTCGAATCTCATGATCTCCTTCATCGGCGAGACTTTCAAGAGAACCTTCTCACCCAGCCTAAATGGTACATCACGCGCCTTCTAATCCGCGTCATTCTTTTGCCTGGACTGTGCTATGCGAAGTTGCTCCTGAATCAATTTTACCTTTTCCAAGGCATCCTTCACCAAATCAGTACCATATAACTTAGCCTCGCCGGGCTCGAACCATCCGATGGGAGAATGATATCGCCAACCATATAAATCTTAATATGGAGCCACCTTGAAGCTGGACTGATAACTATTGTTGTAAGAAAAATTGGCCAAAGGTAAGAATCGATCCCACTGCCCTCCAAAGTCAATCACACATGCTCTGAGCATGTCCTCCAAGATCTGAATTGTCCGCTCTGACTGCCCGTTGGTCTGGGGATGAAATGCTGTGCTAAGCTCTACACGGGTCCCAACTCACTTTGTACTGCTTTCCAGAAATGTGAAGTAAACTAAGGGCCTCTATCTGATATGATGGAAACATGCACACCATGCAACCGAACTATCTCCTGAACATAAATTTTGGACAACCTCTCTGAAGTGTATGTAGTCACAACTGGAATGAAGTGTGCCGACTTGGTCAACCTATCGACAATGACCCAAACTGCATCAAACTTCCGCAAGGTACCCAACTACGACGTCCATAGTAATGCGCTCCCATTTCCACTCTGGTATAGTCATCTGCTGGCGTAGGCAACCTAGCCTCTGGTGCTCATACTTAACTTGCTCGCAATTTAGGCACCTATATACATACTCAACTATGTCTTTCTTCATCCGCCGCCACCAATAATGCTGCCGCAGGTCACGATACATCTTCGTAGGAACTTGATGAATGGAATACCGAGAATTGTGTGCCATCTCTAGAATCCTCTCCCTCAAGCCATCGACATTAGGGACACATAGATGACCCTGGAGTCGTAGAACACCATCCTCGCCGATAGAAACCTCCTTGGCACTACCCTGTAGTACCGCCTCTCTGAGAATTATCAAGTGCGGATCATCAAACTGTCGAGCCTCTATCTGCTCCAGTAGTGAAGACTGGTTAATAACGCATGCAAAACTCGGCTGGGCTCTGAAATATCCAAACTCACAAGTCTGTTAGCTAAGGACTGAATGTCCAAGGCTAGTGGCCTCTCCT